CTTCTTAAAAGCATTCAGGTTTTTTCTTCTTTTTTCTCAGTTAGTTCACATAATTCCCTTTGGCTCAGCAACAAGCCCATTTGCTTGGAAGGCTGAAGCTCTGTACTGTAACCCCTCTTATTACTTAATCCTGTCCATGTTGGTTGGTGGTATGTTTTGTCAGTGATATACTGCATTTGAGTGTGTTTTTTTAGCAAAGCTCAGGACTGTTACAGTCCTGACACTTCAAACTGTTCAAATGTCAGTTCCAAATTTGAGGGCAAAATGGTCATACACAATATTCAAACAATGTGTGGTGTACATTACAATAAAAATATTGGAGGCCATGACTCTGCGGAATAAATGCTGGTGCTATATAAGGTCTCAAGAAAATATGAGTTGCTATACACAATAGCTTTTGTTGTACACCACAAAAAGAAACCTTATTTTCCTCACTGGATTTCAAGATGCCTGTCATTAAAAATACATAACTCGAGAGTTTATATCTGTGTTAAAAGTGAGAATGCATAGCTAAAATCCATTTTAACTACCCAATAAGCTCCAGCTGAGAACTGAATCTGTGATCATAATAGGTGGAAAATACCAGCCAATCAAAAGCAGAAATGTTGTGAGATATTTACTAGGTAATTAATGGGATAATTAATTTCACAGAGACAGCTTTTCAGTTTTTAGAGTAAGGGAAGCAATGCAGTCATCCCTAGAGTAGATCTCGTCCATTGCTCAAAAGGAAGCCTACCTGTTTGATGGCACACTTAAATTCAGGGCCTGATGCAAGCCCTGCTGAAGCTATAGGAAGGCTTCCCATTGATTTCAAATTGCAGGCAATAAGCCTGACTCTTTTTCAGCATTTAATAATAATTCCTCTGCTCAAGGAAAAAGAAGTTCATATTCCAAATATTTAGATTGCTAAAAGAAGGGCATGTGGTACTATTTTCCACGTTTTATGCAGACACAGCTCAGCATGGAAGAAAGTTGTCGTGCTTGTTTTCACATAGGCTATTGAAAGAAATTGTATGAAATGAGTCTTTTGCATGAGATAGGAACATACTGTTTACATAGGCTTATGAGTAACAAACCTTTCTGGGAGAAAGATGGTGGTCTTTTAGGTATAAAATGTTCCAAGCTTGAGAATCCTTATCTTCAGCTATCCCAGGGCCTGCTCCTGCCACTGCTTGAGCAAGGGAGTATCAGTTCACAGGAGCGGGCGTGTTATTTTTCATTGTTGTTTGAGGACAGGGACTACGTCAATGAAGTTGACCGTACGACTGGAAGACTACTTGCAAAAGGATTTGTTGGACTGGGCCCAACATCTCCTGTTACTCAACAACTGTTTTGGTGGTTCGCAGTGGTGGGGAGTGATAGGGCTAGAGCTCAAACTGAAATAGCAGATGAGGCTTACTGCCATACTCAGCCTTGTAGAGACATGAACACGCGAGCGGAGATTGGCATGATTGATGTTGCTGAAACAGGAGTCCAAAGGAACTCAATATTACACTCATTTGTATTATGTCACATTGATACGGAGAAGTGTTAAAATAAGTGACTTCTAAAGTGTTTGCTGATAGTGTTGCTGATTTGAGCAGGATTACAGCCCATTAAACATCCAAAGAATGACTGACTTTGGCTATTTTACAGATGCACCCTCTGGCTTTAAATGCTTGTGACTGATACCCATTTATTATGACGATTAATTTTTAATGTGTTTGCTGAGACTTTCTAATTTAGAGAGTGGTGGAAACAGGTTTTGGGTTCTATTGGTAAACGCTTTTCTATCTTTTAGGTGACTGTAGATGTTGATCACCTCAGTGTGAACAACCGATCCATGGATAATGTCACATGTGATAAATGACCGGGAAATCAAGGATTTAGCCCGTGGCAGAAATAACAAGAATAATATCAGGCTTCTTAGTGGCAGAAAGCATAGTTTAAGCGGTGTTTCTGATGTATCTATCAGACTAAAATGGAAGGAGGCAGTACGTTGGCAGTGTGTGTGATAGGAGAAGAGCTGCCATCCCTGACTCCTAGATCCCACCTTGTTAACTCCTTGCAGGAGAATAGCGGATTCAAAGCAAACGGGTTAAAGATCTGGCAGAAGCCGAGGAGGACGAGACAGGTTTGCTCTCCAGCCCCGTGTGCCGTAGCCCTGGCGAGGCTGCGCTGCGCGTCCCCCGGGCGAGGGCTGAGGTCTCGCCGGGTACCTCGGTGCTGCGGCAGTGACATTTCGTCTAGTTCAAAAGTTCACCGCGAGGCTCTGGCGAGGCGACCGCGCTCGGGGCCGCAGCGAAGACCGCCGGCAGGTCC